CATTTCGATGAGTCCAAATAAACAGTGACGGACAGAGAGGGACAGTCATATAAATATTATATTGTTTAACTTTTAAATTACAATTAACCTTACACATTATTACATATGTATGTATGTATGTATGTAGATGCTTTTTTTTAACGGTCAGAACATATGTATTTTCACCGTTATGATTCTATTTTGCCGCTCTTTTTTGAATGGGCCGTACCCAAGCATATATATTTGCATAAAAATACTAAACTGAGTATGAGTATGAGCTTCCCAGGCTAATTTACGGGCCATATTAACAGGGAAAACAAAAAATAAAATGAAAAAGCACTTAGAAAATATATGCAAACAGCCGATTTTCAAGTTTTCGCCCGAATAAATGCAATAAACACAATTTCGCAATATTTTTTTTTCTGCGCTTTTGTTTCACCAACCAGTGTTGCCACTTGAGTTTAGTTTTAGGTACCAAAATGCCTACCAAATCAATTTCCAAACTACCAAATTTTTGTTCATTATTAAAACGAAATTTCTTGAATTTACGGGGTTTTTAGCTACACACATTTACAGTGTAATATTGTTTACGGTGTTGGTTAACTAAACAAAACCAATTCGGGCTTTTAAATAAAAGAATTAACGTATTGTGTAAAAAGCTTTTGTAAAAATGCAAATACCTTTGAGATTAATTCAATTCATATCAAAAAAATGTGTATGTTTGAAAAAACAAAATCTGAGATTTTATGCATTTCAATAAAAAAATTCCAAATTTTGTTTCAATTTGCATACACTCACACTTTCCAAATTGCCTATCACCAATTTTTCTTTCAAGACGATAGGCAAATTTTTGTTCAATTTCAACAGCTGATCGATCATAGCTTTGGGAAGCCAGTTTTTGTTTGCAGAAAATTGTGTGCTTAGTAAAATTTGGAAAAAAAACGAAAAGTAAGTGAATAAATTTTAATACTCATTTTGATTGACTTTTCAAAACATTTTTGCCTACCAAAAGCTTCATCAAACCAACCAAACTACCAAAAGACAATGAAGCTACCAATTTTGGTCCAATTGGACCAAAACGGCAACGCTGTCACCAACATTTAATGATGATTGCCATTTCGCTATGCAGTGCATACATATGTACATATGTGTTTGTGTGTACATATGCGTAAAGTGCCAGCTGAGTGACCCCGATTTCGCCTTGTCTCATGCAAAAGTGAAGTAACAACAATTGCTTTATTTTACAATTACAAACAAGGAAGTAAAATCGAGGAAATGCGCTGCGAAAGAAAAAGAAAATACCAACATCAATGGCACTAGACTCTAAATATTTACCAACGTCGAAGAGGCATATGCCAAATGTATTGAGTATAATTTTATCTCCATTCAAAACAAAAATCATACACCGGCACACACTTTCCGGCGTACAAACATACACATGTATATGTATGTATGTATGAACCTTTCACATTCGCCTTGCTGAGGAGCTGAGGACCTGAATATTTACGTATTCCATAGCTTGGTTTCTTTATTTGAAATGTGGGTATGCAAATAACACTCCTAGTCATTTGAATAGCGCACCCTTTTAACCTCTCCTCCCCTTTGATTATTTAATATGTATTCATTCATTTTTTATATAAATATAGTATATTATACAACAAAAACCATGTAAATCAGATTTTAAAATTGTATACAATTAAATAAAACAGTGAATGAGGTAATGATATTTGCAGACCTTGCAATTTTAGTACAATTAATTGCAATTTTCAAGTGGCTACTAAATACCGTCGATTTTTGGAAATTTTTTTTTTTTGTTGACAGTGTCATGCATTTTTTTCATACAAAGTATGTTCGAAAAAATGTTTATGTGGAAGAAAATGCGCAGCACCGTCAACAAAAAAAAGGTGTCAAATATCAACGCTTTTTTATTGAATGGCTACAAAACTAAAACTGCACATACGAAATTTTCTAAAAATATTATTAACTTATTCACTGCAGGTAATAAGAATAAAGTACCCCTTTGTTAAATTTTTTTTTTTAATTTGTACAAAATTTTAAAATCGGATTTATACGTTATTTCTAGAATTTGCTAATTTTTTATAAAAACCTAATTAATATCAAATAAAAGAAAAGGCAAACTCTAGGTACTGAGAATCAAAAAGGCGCGCTATTCAAATGACTAGGAGTGTACTATATGTACATTCATACATATGTATGTGATCATGTAGTTCCCGTAAATAGTAGTCATAGAATGTCCACTTAATTTAGTAACAACCTTGGTAATTTGCACCTATACGTGTGTGCATATTTATTTATGTTTAAGTGTGTGAACTTTAAAGAGCTTTAGCGACTTACAGTAAAAAAAAAATTAAATTTTTAGTGCTGAGCTCAATGGCGGCTTATGTCTATGCTACGCAAAGATGAACCGCTAATATTTTTGACCGTTGGCACCGGCACAAATATGTACATATTTACATACATACGCAAATAACTAGACACTTGTTATTTATGTGCATCAGCTAATGTACAATGCACATACTTACATACATAGAAACATACATATGTAGATAGATATGTTTGTATTTATATAGCATAACACTACGGTTGCCTAAAGTTCATTTAGGCGAGTGAGCCTGCGTACCACTGGCTTAGTGGAAGTTGTTAACCAAAGTACTGTTAAATTGTGTGTTTTACCTCATCATGACAGCTTTTATGAGGTAAATAGTAAAGAAACACGTTATGTTTTATGTTTATTGCAGGAACTTGAGTAAACATATATAATTTTGCTTTGAAGTCAGTAGTGGCACATACGCGCAGACTTGTAGCAACAGGTGCTTTATACTATTTAATAAACAATTTTGTTGAAATTTTGCTTTTCTAAGTATTAAGTTAAGGCCCGGTTGCCCAATGTCTGGTTATCACTATCTCCCAGTTAAACATCATTATCGAAGTTTTCGAATTCATGCATATAACATGTGATCGGTAAAACAGTCCTTGTATTTAACCGGGCATTGAAAAACCCATTTCTCCCATTTTCGAAACTGTAAAATTTAATATATTTAAATTTCGACTCGAAATTTCGATTGCATACAAATTCGTAAAGTTTTTATGTATAGTTTGAGATTGAACCTTACAATTGTAGTCGTTTTTCGTAGACAATAAATTTTAAAGAGCAAGCTAGTGCAAAGAGTTGCAAATCACAAGGTGTTAACAAAAGTGAGTAGACTAATATATAACTGATCTTTCTTGCGCCATTCTGCCCCTTTTTGAAAAAAACGCAATTCTTTATGCCAACTAATGAGGCAGATAGCTCCGTACTTGCAACCTTCAGTGATCACATTAGAAAAATGGATGAATACACTATGGCCGTTACTAACGACTTGCGGAACAAACGGGAAGACTGTAAGATCGCAAGACTATTATGGCCACGGCTTTATAGGAAAAATGCCAAAGTCCTTCTGACATCCAATAGATCTGCAGTTAAGAGTCTTTGCCAAACCTGCAGAATCAATTGACCACATTCCGTGTCGATGTACGGGCCTACAGTTGAAGCGCCTCAATCACTTGGACCCACGCTTATTCAACAGTCTGGGCGAGATAGCGTAGGTGGAATTGTTGGATCTCCTCGGTTAGGGGTACGTGTCTCTTCCTGACACTCACTTTTGTCTCCGAGTACATACACGCCCTCCTAACCTCAGCTAACTAGCAAACCTCCGAGTGTACTATTTCTGCCATGAAAAAGCTTATAATTTATAAGAAATGTGAACGAAAAAATTTTTTTTTTTGGGTATAAATTCAATGAGGTGCTCTCATGACCTAAGCCGGCCCTTATTGGATACGTAAAAATGCAACAGCACAATTATGAGAAAATAAGTAAATAATTCAGCCTTTAGATATTCTTGATTTTATGTATTATTTAATTCATTTTTAAAAGCAATTCGTTGTTGGTTTAATTTTGAATTGAAAATGTGATAACGGACGTGACATATCGGACGTAACAGATTTTTCCCGTATTATTACTAGTAACACATACTAAATTTAATTGTTTATTTAATTCTTTCAGTTCCTATCTCCACCATTTCACGTTTTCATAACCTTCTTTCGCCATCTGAATACGAAATTTTGAGTTATAAGGCCATTTGAGTTCATTTACTTGCATTTTCGGTTTACATTTTTATAGAAACAATCATACGTAATAAAAGTTGTATGTATATACAATGAAATATAGAACATATCATTAGCAGACCTTAATAAAATAACCAGTTAAGAATTCTTCAAATTAATTTTTCATATCCATATTTTTTAGTATAATGTTAGAAAGTTGCCAACAATTTCTTTTATAAATGTGCACAATCGATTTATGTACAACATACCGCATACATACATACATAAATTTACATCTACAAATATGAATCCACTTTCACTAAGAAGCGTACACTCACATCTATACAGAGTGAAAGAGCACAGGGCGCAGATGCATACAGCCATATCTCAAATATGTCTGCACTTATATCTTAAAAAAAACGCATTTTCAAGCATTGATTTAAAGCTAAGCCTTTAATGGCGCTAATTTCACAATTCTATATGATACACTTTTTGTTTTGAAACCTCTGTACATCATACTTACATACATACACTACATAATATAAGTATACAATATGCACATATTTTAAAATTCAATTCGCAAAACTTTCACGCTTCAATAAACATACATACATATGTATGTATGTAAACATCAGTAGTTACGAAACTTTTACTCTCTTAAATATTGTGAACAAACTTTTAGTTTATGCAAAACACTATACATTTATATAAAAATGCTTTGAAAACAAACACTTGGCACGTACTGTGTGCTAAGTATATGTATGTATGTATGTACATATATACATATATGAACCCAAGATTTGCTTTGCTTAATTCATTAATAAATCTTTTCACCCACTAAACTTGGTTAGTTTACGAATTTTGAATATTTGCATATTTTTTTCTCTACTTCTTTATTGCTTTTCACGCACACATACCAGCTTCGTATTGGGAAATCGAAAGACTTAAGACACAAACTCTCACTTTAACGCACTGCTCACAAATGAATGCGCACAACACCCCGTTGTAAAACCGTTGGTGATGTTCATAAATACATGTGTACACATATATATATATATATGAGTAAAAACAAATTTCGTGAACTTTTTGTCGGTTCGAGTTGTGAGTTCGTTTCAAACACGCGGCCGTTTATAGCTGCCCGAACTTCACTTTCCTTGCACGACACTTTAATATCTGGCTTTTTCTGCTGTAGTAGACGACTGTGGCGTACGGTGTCTTAAAATGTACTAAAGCTTTGTAAAGTCTTACTTGGTTTATTTCACTGAAATATAAAAAATTTAAACGGTTTTTGTAGTTACGAGCTGCAGGTAGGTATGTATGGGGATGTATATATGTGATTGATGTCTTTCGCTCAGTTGCAATTTATTTCTTTTTTGTTTGTTTATATGATTCATTTAAGAGCGTACGGAGAAACCCAATCGTAAAATAAAATACAAAAACAATATATTTAGTAATGTAAATTTTGCGCGAACGTCCAAGTGAGATTCAACTAGAAACTGGTAAACTTATGCACATAAATATATATATATACATACACATTTAACACGTACATATGTATCTGTAATATTGTAGCGTAAAACACCCAAAAAGTTTGGTTGCTGATTCATTTGAAATTGGCAATGTATGCGGTGTTGCCGTTTTGATCCATTTACTTCAAAAGTGATACGAATTTGTGCAAATTTTCGGAAGTTACTTTATTTTTTAGCTCATTTCGTGAGATACATAAATTTTCCGCGTAGCACAAATTTTGATACATGAAAAAGAGAAAATACGTATACTGGCAACTTTTGAAATTTGATCGAAAATATTGAAACGTTTTGGGGTCAAATAAGCTTAAAGAAAAATGCTTTAAACGAACTATGTACATGTTTACATATAATGAGCTGACTGCAATTATCTTTATTTTACTTTGCTTGTCACAAGCTATTATTTAGCTCTGCGACGGCAATTAAAAAAAAAATCCAATATAAAAGAGAAATAGACTTTCATTACAAACTGTTCAGAATATAACGGTGCGTATTCATAATAATAATAATAGATTGGCGCTTACACATATGTTAGTGTTTGGCCGAGCTTTTCCTCCGATTTGTGGTGTACGCCTTAATGTCACTTTCTTTAAATGTGTACTAATTCAATACTTATCAATTTAACCGAATTAAATTTTTCATAAACAAATGGGGCATTACAGCGTGACGGGTGTTACATTTTAACTCGTTTTTCTCAAACTTTAAGTATATTCTCTTTAACCATTAATTTGACAAATTTCAAACCTTTAGCACTTGAAGTCAGAATTAGACCGTTTCTGACAGAAACTCAACAGTTGACATCATTTGCGCAACAGCTAAGGAAAACAGTTGAGGCTTAGGAACGCGCCAATTATTTCCACGTTACTGTTTTCACCGTTTTAAAGAAAATCTATGTAATTAATTTTTTACACTTTGTCTTCGCTGGAATGACCCATATGTAGGTAGTAACCCGCTTCAAATATATTTTCGACAGTCAACTTTTTTAAACCTCTTTAGTGTAATATTTTATCAATTTAAATGAATAAAATTATTCAACCTAGTGACAAACCCCCTCAAAAATATTTTTGGCATTAAAGTTTCCTAACCCTTTTGATACCCATATTGCAATATTTAATCTATCTTATCAATTAAATTAAATTAAAGATTTCAAATAGGTGGCATCCCTCCACAGAAATATTTATTTTCAGTTGTAAACCGTCTTAAAACTCCGTCTTTTGACAGTCATCTTCTTCTTCTTATTTGGCGCTGCACAGCCTAAGTGATTTTGACCGAGTTCAACAAAGCACGCCAGTCGTTTGTCTATGTCCATGTCGTGGTAAAGCGCATCGTCCCATCGTCTGCGATACTCGTCTTCGCCTATGCGCAAATGTTCGTAAATCTATCGCAGAATCTTTCTCTCATACACCAACACGGGCATGAGGAGCGACTTATAGAGTGTGATTTTTATACGACTCGAGGGGACTTTACTTCTGAATTGCCATCTCAGTCCAAAGTAGCATTTTTTGGCAAGAGTTATTCTCCATTCGATTACAAGGGTGACATTATTATTGGTTTGAATGCTGGTTCCTAAATAAACAAAGTCGTGTATTTTTTCTAACTTGGTGTATCTTATAGCCCTGTTATGTATGGCGACTGATAGCCGATCGGCAACCGTATGTTAAAATGCGCATCACGTATGGCAACTGCCTACTGACTGTCGGCTACTAAGTCTGATAGCTCAATTTTCTGCTTCCCGCTCATGACGATTTTGTGATTTGTTTACATAAATTGTTAAGGACCCTGAAAAAAGTTGCCAATTTTTTAAAAATATTCATGTCAAAAAAGTAAATTCGGATGTTGTCTACGCTTTTCTGTATACTGAGAATAATTGCTATACATAATACAAAGTACGATAATGGATAGACCAGCAACTATACACTAGAGACTAGGGCCATTAGGTGAAACTTTTTATATAAACTTTTATTATAATTACTTTTACTATGCTGTTATTTGTGCTTAATAAAATAAAAAAGCTAGATTAAAAAAAAAACAAAAAATCTTCTTTTTTGAAGGTTACATTTTTTTGAACGAAAATAAAGTTTTTTTCCTTGAAACAGCTTAAAAAACATCTGGCAACACTGGGATCAACTGAGTTGACAATGGCTCTTTTGCCAGTTCGTCGCTTTTTCTTCGTAATAATGGGCAATTATCTTAATCTCAATTTGAATCTTAATTTTACTCTTAATTTTTTTTCTAATCGTGCCCAACCACCCCCGACATTCCCAGTCCGTCGTTTTTTCGTTTTATTGGATTTTGGAATTTGAGTGTAATATTTTATCAATATACTACACCAACCGGTGCACAGTGATATTTGGTCCCCAATTCGTGCAAATAAATCCAAAAATAAAGTATCGATTTTAGGGATTTATTCTCTTGGGTCCAAGAAAGGTCCCGACCTTTTGCATCTGTTTGTATGATTAGTGTGAAAATGTTAGTTGACGCAGCGCTCAGGAAAGTAAAAATGTAGTGCTAAAGTTTAAAAGAATCGATTTTAATTTTTTAAAATGGGTTTTTCTTCTATAGGTCAGTTCTATATAAGGTATAATTTTAAAATTTTCTAATATGCTCAACTGATTAGTATTTAATGAAATTTTCAAGTGAATTTTTTAATAAAAACAGTTTAAAGAAAAAGCCATAAGTCATTTTCTCCTGGTTTCACCAATAAAAAAATTATGTTTATTTTAAGATAATTGTATTTTAAACTATAATACTAAATATTAAATCCGACTGTGTCCAACCTTTTGTTTAAGACGCGATTTTGTACCATATAATATTGAAAATTTTTCTGAACATGATTTTTTAAAACATTTTTTTTCGACCAATATAGTGTAAGATACACGTAAACATGATTATATTATAATTCTATAGCATTTTTTTTTTTGGAATTTTAAAACAACCTAATATAACTACTATATATAATATATATATAATACTAAGTGAATTTAATAAATGTTTTTAACATTAAACACATTTCTTTTAATTTCAGGCGCCATATTGGATCGGCTATTTTGTATTTGGTTATTTTGATTTCAGATTTGATTTTAGCGAACTTTTTTAAATAATATAATAATAAGTCATTCTTATTATTATTTCTACCAAAATTATTATCTTTAAGATTTTAGGTGCCATATTGGACCGACCATTTGGTTTCTTGTTATTTTCCCCTCAGATTCGAATTCTGCGACCTCAAAAACCCCTGCAAACCTGATCTCATGTGAGTATACTATTTTTTTTTTAATTATGGGCACAAATTGGGTATCAAATATCACTGTGCATATATATTATATTATTTTATATATGTATTGGTACGGGGAAGGAAAACATCACTGCAAAGCTCGAAAACGGCTGTACTGATTTTTTTGAAATTTCGGACACCTACTACAGACTTTCCAAGGATGTTCCAAGGATTGTAAGTGTTTGAGGGGGTCTATGGGTAGTTTCAGTTCACAATTTGACCCGCCAGGTGAGTTTATCGAACCGCCGTGTTTTCCGACTGGCCCAATGGATGTGATTTACCAATATTACTCTGCGTTAAAGCTTCATTCGGAGACACCAGGATTGAGTTGTCCAAATGACCTCCGTTACAATCAACCACCAGAACTATTGCGCTCCTTGATAGAAAAATTAACTAATTTATATTTCAAATTCTTATTCGGTTAAACTACAAGGCTAAAGCATGCGTAACTAGTTTTTTGTACTCCACTATGTATGCTTTTGAGCTTAGTTGCTGTTTTTTTCAGAAGGTTTTCAAAGTTTATAGAAGATCATTCCACCTGAATTGCTTTAAGGCATAATTTTTTTTTTACTTGCACCGCATGCCAAATACATTCATATAGCTACATACATATGTATGTACTTATGCATGCGTATGTGCACACATAACCCTCTGAAATACCGTGAAATCAATGCCAAGCCATTTCAAATGAATATTTTTATAATGAATGAACTAATCTTTTTTTTGTTGTTTATTAACGAGACACCGTAATCGAATACAATCCGGTTTTTTTGCGTTAAGCTTCGTATGTAAATGAATAACGATCACGACAAAAAATCGAAAAATGGGAGGGGGGATGTAGTTTCGAGTTTGCACACGAAAAAAATGTGGTTTTCGAATTTGATATATGTAAATATGTAGGTATGTGGAGCTTAAACACTTAGCTGATAATTTACTAAAGCCATATTTTGGTGGAACTAACATACATGTATGTATGTATGTACAAACAAGTATAAAATATATACTATGGTCATATGTACACACTATATATGGAGACATGAATTATATACATATGTACATATGTACATTAGGGTGCTCATCGAAAACGTTTTTATTTGTGTATTTCAAGACGCTACCCCATAATTTTATTCGTTTTTATGAAAAATATTATTTCCTATTTCTGTCGATTTAGGTCAGAAAATACCAAGAAAATACGATGTAAATACGATACATAAATTCAAGGTTGTATTTAAGAAAAATGGCCTAACTTCGACACTTTTTATGCGAATGCAATAAATGAGGTACCACCAGTTTATTTGAAAATACATGTTATTTTAGGCAATTCTAAAAAACTCAAAAAAATAAGAGAAATATAATAAGAAATCCCCAACAAGCCAAGTCCGACAATAGGTTATTATGTACCATTTTGAAGGCCTATATATTTCCGCTTCTCAGATCATATTATATCTTTGAAATCGAATCAAAAATAGTCAAAAATCTACAAAATCGTATTTTCTGACCTA